GAAGAAGAAGAAGAAGAAGAAGAAGAAGAAGAAGAAGAAGAAAAAGAGATGTCTTCAAATACAGTTTTTTGATACGACTATAATACTGCAGTAGCTCAGTGTATGGCAGCGCTCGGCAGCTACAAGTGTACTCGTAACGCGGGGGCAATGGTCTAATATAGCCACCTCCCCACTCAAAGTAGTTGGGGTATTTTTTACGCACTCCACCGCAATCTGAAATATTCTCAAATTGTAGAGAAGTGTTTGTTGCTAGGGTCCATTTTACAGGCCTCAGAAGCCTTACTAGATCAGAAAAATCCACATCTTGCTCTCCCTGGAGCCCTTATGTAGTCTTAAAAGTAAGTTGCAGTGAGAGAGAATGAGTGCAATATCGAGATTTGTCCTAGATTCGAACCTCCGACCCTACAGTTGCAAGTCCAACACTTAACACGACCATTTCCCGTCGTCAGGTTCCAGGGATTTTTGTGTTTACCTTACAGTTAGTTTTTTATATTGTTTTTTATAACATCCCAATTTAAGGTATAAAACAAAGAAACCAAGTCTAACAACCTCATAACATGAGCCGCGTGGTGTTCCTTGTGTCTAATTTACTGTTATTTTGTTTATTCCTCAGTTTTTCAACTGACTCTCTCGCTCAACGTCTCATACCACGACTCTGTGTACAATCACTGCATAGTGTACCAACAAACAAAAATTGTATTTCCAAAGTTACTTCCCTGAAGTAGAAGCGGCAAAGGTTTAAGTCTTGCGAGAAAAAAACGAACTAACAGAAGACAAACAAAAATAAAAAGCAACAGCAGCAACAACAATAACAAGCCAAAGATGTCGAGACCAATGGGTGAAGGCAAGATCCTCAAGGACAACCGGTCCACCTACAACCTAATCCAACACGAACATCACGTTCCACAGTCACCTTTCTTCAAACCCGGAGACGCCCAAAAGTATGGGCCCGGCATGAGAAGACAAGAGGACTGGAGGGGAGCACCACAGTCTGATAGGCAGGTCAGTTGATCATGAATTTGGAAATGTTTTATTGCAAAAACTGTTAAAACTGTCTAAGACAGCCTCCACTTGTCGTTTAAAAAAGTTGCTGTTTAGACATTAGTGGTATTATACGGTGACGTTATAATTATGCATGTCGTATGGATGTATGTATGTACGTAAGCATTAATGTATGATCGTGTGCTTTTACGTATGTTGGAGTGTGCACGTATATGTGTATGTATGTTTGTGTGTACATAATATGTATGTACGTATGAATGTATGTATGTATGTATGTATGTGTGTATGTATGTATGTATGTATGTATGTATGTATGTATGTATGTATGTATGTATGTATGCAGGTGTAAGTATATTATGTTTTTGTATGCTGGTTTGTACATTTGTATGTTTGTACCTGTGAATGCTTTGGTGAACTGATACACATGTAGACTTCTATTTATAATGTTGTTAATCAAACATCTATTTGATGTTCAGTAATGATGACTTATATTGTGTCTTCTTAAATCCCAGGGCGGTGGGAGGGGCATGGACGATTCCTACAATCCACAAACCAATCGTATCCGCCACGATCAACACATGCCCCAGTCTCCGCTCTATGTCTCGGGGAAGTCCCCACGACAGGGATATGACCAAACTCAAGGCTACGACCAGACTCAAGGTTACGACCAATCGCGTGCTTATCAGCAGAGCCCTGTGTTCCTCAAAGACGTGCAAGACACCAGCCCTAGGGTGGACTTCAGAGATGAGCCGGGGTACGGCAGTCCGACGGGAAGACAAAGCGGGGCAGACATGAGGCGGGATGACAACTTCCAGGTAGGATTGTTAGTCTCCAATCTTCGTTAAAGTAGAGTTTTAATTTTTTTATAAAGTGGTCTGCATTATCTCTTTTATGAGTTATGACCCTTTGATTTAGATAAATGTGAAATGAATTTAATATGAAACACAAAACAACCGAAGAAAAGAAACAAAAACACCAAGAACAACAACAAGATTAACATGAATGACAAAGAGAAAAACCGTATGATTTGACTTGAAAGCACTAATTCAACTTGGTCTCAGTGGTAAAAAAAAAAGATTACGTTAAACAACAACTATAAAGGAAACAATGTACACAATGAGCGAACAAAACATATTTTTATTTTAAATATTAAAAAGAAACATTAAGTAAACAACAAAAATGTGTCAAATGCACTGTGTCGTCAAAAATTGTCACCCAGGTGACTATAATATAAGAAACTCTGTCGAACATCGTGCCACCCAAGGGAACAGACTTATGTAACTGTGATTAGTACTCAAACTTTTGAATTCTAATAACTTTGTTTCGTCTTTTCATAACTGCACACCTGGCATAAAACCAGGGGATTTAGTTATCTATATTCTTGGACATTTTTTTTGTATTTTACTCCAAAATTATCATTTCTTACGTAATGCAAATCATATTGAGATTAACTTTTGGTCTAGTATACATAGCAAAATTTCTCGGTATATGTGTTTAATTGTTTTAAAACATTGCTTTTAAATAATAATGTAACACTTGGGTAACAGAAATACGCCCAACATGATATGGTTTATAACGTTTAGATTGTAGAATACGAAGATTGATTAGTTTTATGCACTAACATAGAAACCATTTTAATAATATTATTGTTTGTTTTCTCTGAAATACCGCTACTCTCTTGCACCCCCACTCCCCTCCCTCCCTCCCTCCCTCTGTCTCTGTCTCTGTCTCTGTCTCTGTCTTTGTCTCTGCCTCTCTCTCTCTCTCTCTCTCTCTCTCTCT